ACTGTGTCTAATGGAAGCCTCATCTCCTTGTGCTGAATGAACACCTTGATAGTCATTAAATTTACCTGAAACGAATGGACATACTTTTACTTCATATTTGCCTCAGTTATTGTCTCTGGGTTTTTCCCTGAAGTCTCTGTATTAGTTTTCTCAGCCCAGTTTCTGCTGAGAAACTGACACTGACAAACTCTGTTTCTTTCCCTGGGAGGACCCTAGGAGGAAGAGCCAAAGTGGGGGATGGTGGGGAGAACCATTTGCTTAGGGGGAAAAAAAAAACCTCTCCAGAACCTTCTGAAAATTTTATTTGATGCCATTGACTCAGCTGCTCATCCCTTCGTTTTATGTATTTTGCCTGAGAATTTCCCTCACGGACTCTTTAACCTGTCAGTTCATTCTTTCAGGTCTGAGAACACTTGGAGTTTTGGAAACAGGCTCTGAGCAGTGGTTCTCAGTCCATTCAACTCCTGTGCTACTTTGTTCATTGTGAGAAAACCTAAGGTATGGTATCATGGAATGTGTGGAGTCAGAAAGATCTCCAGTTCAAGTTGCTACATCATTGTTTAATAAAAGTCTGAACCTAGTTTTTCTCACATGTGACCTGAGGGTAATAATACAATTCTTATCTTAGGAATTGAGATAATTATATCTCAATATAATTATCTCAATTCCTAAGATAATTGGTATAGTCCAGGGGTTGAGCATTTTCTAGCACATTTGAGGTCCTGGGTTTGATCCCCATTGCCAAAAGGGGGAAAAAATTCCTACAGAATAATGTAAGCTCTTACCAAATGGAAGTGATCTTGAAGACTTTGCTTCTGAAGCACACTGCATATTAGGGTGTGCCGAGGTACCACGTAAGTCTGGCCATGATCTCCTTTAGACCCTCTCTGTTGACTTGCGTGAAGGCCCTGGGGAGCCTCTTCTTCAGGGCTGGTTCCTACTGAGGAAGGTTGGTTTCTGCTATCAGGTTCCGTGTGCTGCCAAAAACATTTGTTATGGCTCTTTACACAGTTCTTCATTTAAAAGGCATTTAAAACAAGTTTTAACATTTTACTCATTTAAAATTTTAAAACATACATATGGGAGCTGGGTGTGATGACGTGCCTGTCGTCCCAGCTGGAGAGGCTGAAGTGGGAGATGAGTCCATTGTTTCCAGACCAGCCCCAACAAGATAGCAAGGACTTGATGGGAACAAAAGCAAAAGCATACATGTGGTGGATAATCCAAACCATAAATACTATTTAAAACTAGGTATTTAAATTTCCAAATATTTTGGGGTTTTCTTGAGACCTGTATGTTAATGATTTCTAATTTAAATCTACCATGATAAAAGAACAAACTTTCTATGACTTTAATCATTTGCATTTATTGGAACTTGTGTAGTGGCTCAGAATATGATATCTTGGTGTTTAGTGTACATTTGAGTTGAGAATATATGTTGCTGGTAAAGAGTTCTATAAACTGCAGGACACCATGGCGCACACCTGAAATCCTAGCGGTTTGGGAGGCTGAGGTAGGAGGATGGCGAGTTCAAAGCCAGCCTCAACAATGACGAGGTGCTTAAATCTCAGTGAGCCCCTGTCTCTAAATAAAATAAAAAATAGGGCTGGGGATGGGGCTCAGCCCCTGAATTCAATCTTCGGTATGAAAAGAAAAAAAAAAAAAAACTTCTATGAACTGAAATCAAATTCCATGCATGTTTGATTTTGTTGGGATAATCCAACTATAATGTATGGTTATAATGCTTTAATAAAAAAAAAGTTCTGTAACTGCTGGTCAGTTCAGGTTGTTCAAGTTTAATATCCTTTCTTATCTGCCAAATTGTTCTGTTGAGAGAGGGCTATTGAAATTTTCTGAAAATAATTGTACATTTGTCTAATTTTTCCTTGTGGTTGCTGTCACATTTTGCTTCGTGTACTTTGAAATTCTGTTACTAGGTAAATAGACATTTAGGATTTCTATCTTCCTTTGATTAATTGACGCCTTTATCATTATGATATCACCTTCTTTTTCCCTGGTAATATTTTTTGCTTTGAAATCTACATTGTCTATATGCTTAGCTGTCTCCTCTCGCTCTCTCCCTCACCCCCTTCCTTTCTCTCATTTTTGTTTTTTTGGTGCTGGAGATTGGATCCAGGGCCTCATGCACGGTAGGCAAGTGCTGTCCCCAATCTACATCCCCAACCTCTTTTCTCTCTTTTTATTTTATTTAGTTAATTAATTAGGTACTGCGGATTGAGCCCAGGGGTGCATAGCCACTGAACCACACCCCCTGTTAGAGTCTGTAAACAAGTCAAAATAACACCTGGCATTTTGCCAGGGGAATGTTAAAGTTCGTAAACAAGTCTGGATGGTGCCTGGCAAAATGCCAGAGGGAGTGATTTGAGAAGTAACAAAAGCGAGCCATTAAGTGTGGAGATTCCTTATTGGTTGACTGATGTATCTAGTTTATGCTAATTAGATAAGCTGTGTGGAATGTATAAATACTGCTCCTGTCCTGCAATAAACGGCTCCCTCTCCTGCTGTATCAATGTGCACAAGTTGTTCGTCACCGCCCAGCTATTTTGCCCAGCCAGCCGGACTGCAGCAGAGGCGGACAGGCAGAGGCGCCTGTCAATCAATACTGTTGGCAAAATGCCAGGGGCCATACAGACTCAGCCGTGGCTCTCAGCAGCCCCCAGCCCTATTTTGTATTTTATCTAGAGACAGAGTAACTGAGTTGCTTAGTGCCTGGCTTTTGCTTAGGCTGGCTTTGAACTTGCTATCCTCCTGCCTCATCCTTGAGAGCTGCTGTGATTATAGGCGTGTGTTACCATGCCCAGCTTCCAGCCCCCAGCCCCTTTTTAGACTTTTTTATTTTGAGGCAGGTCTCTCTAGTTGCTTATGGCCTTGCTAAATTGCTGAGGCAGACTTTGAATTTGCAGTCCTCCTGCCTCAGCTTCCTAAGTCACTGGGATTACAGGTATGCACCACCACACCTGGCTTCTTTCTTTTTATTGAGAAATAATTTACATACCATTAATTTTACTATTTTGAAGTATATAAATCAGTATTTCTTTTTTAGTATGTTCACAAGGGGTTGTGACAATCATTACTGTTTCATTCCAGAACATTTTCCTCACTCCAAAAAGAAATCCTGTATCTGTTAGCAGCCTTTCTTTCTTTCTTTCTTGGTGCTGGGGATCGAACCCAGAGCCTTGTGCATGCAAGCCAAGCACTCTACCAACTGAGCTATATCCCCAGCTTCTAATTCCTCATTCTCCTTCCCCACATCCCCTGGCAAACGTATATATACACATACATGTGTGTGTCTGTGGATTGCCTGTTCTGAACATTCCATATAATTGAATCATACAAAATGTGACCTCTGGCTTTGTCTTTTTTCACTTAGCCTGTTTTCAAGGTTCATTCCTGTAGAATTTATCAGTACTTTTTTTGGGGACACAATACCTTTACTTTTTATTTATTTATTTTATGTGGTGCTGAGGATCGAACCCAGTGCCTCACATGTGCAAGGCAAGCACTCTTCCACTGAGCCCCAGCCCCAGCCCAGTACTTTTTATGTCTTAACTGATATTCCATTTCATGCATATACCACATTTGCTTATCCATTTATCCACAAATGAACATTGAGTTGTTTGTTCCTTTTGGCTATTGTGAATGGTGCTGCTGTGAACAGTGTGGACAGGGTGTGAGCACCTGTTTTCAGTTCTTTGAGATCTATACCTAGGAATGGAATTACTAAGCTGTATGTTAATTCTGTGTTTAACTTTTTTTTTTTTAAACATATTTATTTATTTATTTAGTTAGTTAGTTATTGGCAGACACAACATCTTTGTTGGTATGTGGTGCTGAGGATTGAACCCGGGCCGCACGCATGCCAGACGAGCGTGCTACCACTTGAGCCACATCCCCAGCCCTGTGTTTAACTTTTTGAGGAATAGTTTACCTATTTTCTGTAGATGCTGAATCATTTTTACACTGCAACTAGCAGTGTATAAATGTTTTGATTTTTTCCATATATTTACCAATGAATAAAAGATTTTTATGTAGGCAAACATTTTTATAATGGATCAGAGGTGGCAAGAGTAGAAGGAGGGCATGACTTGGACTAGGTTAGTGAGGGAGAGAAACATAGATGATACATACTCTTGAGACAGAATCAACAGGACTTAGTGTATTGGTGAGGGAGGAATCAAGAATGATTTCTGGGGGTCTGACTAGAACACCTGGGTGGATTATACTATTTGCCATGGTGGGATTCACTGTAGAGGTCTGACCCAGTGGGATATCAGGACCTTAGATCTTTTGACAAATGCAGATATGAGTGTAATTTGGCCTTTTATGGGGTGCTGTCCCTTGCTGTGAGGCAAGGCCAGTCTCTGGCCCCACTTCCCTTATATGGTCTTTGTGGTCACAATTTGAGCTCTTTCTGTTCCAAAGCAGACATGTTATGCAGACACTGGGCACAGAGCAGAGGGTCTCTGTCTGGTACAGAGATGGTGGTTATGTTCCTAGCATCCCTTTTTCTGGGTTCTCTGCTTTTATCAGCTGCATTTATTGGCTTGTTTCTACTCAAGGCCACTTGGCCAGCTGTAGTCACTGACCTGGGACTTAGAGACCTTGCTGCCTGGTTCTTTTTTTTAATTTATTTTTTAGTTTTCGGTGGACACAACATATTTGTTTGTATGTGGTGCTGAGGATCGAACCCGGGCTGCACACATGCCAGGCGAGCGCGCTACCGCTTGAGCCACATCCCCAGCCCACTGCCTGGTTCTTGATGTTCCAGACTCTTACCTGCTCTGTTCATCCCACTTTGCATTTGGACTGTGCCCGTTGGTGTTTGCATGGAGCAGTTGAACTCTCGCCCCTGTGTATTGTGCCAGCTCTTAGTGTTGTGAGTGTTTCAGTCAGCTTTCCATCACTATAACAAACACCTGAGATAATCAATTTGTAAAGAGAAAAGGTTTATTTTGCCCTACAGTTTGAGAGATTCCAGTCTATGATTGGCTCTGTTGCTTCTGGGCCAGTAGCAAGGCAGCCCATCTTGGTGGGAAGCATGTGGGAGAGCAGAACTGCTCATCTGGTGGCCAGTTATCAAAAACAGAGACCAGGGTCCCACTATCCTCTTCAAGGGAATAATGGCCTAGGACATCCCCCAGACCCTCCCTCTCAAAGTTTCCTCCACCTCCCAGTAGTGCCAAGCTAGGGCCAGCCATCAACACACTGGCCTTTGGGGGACATTCCAGATCCAACTACAGGGAGAAAGGGGGCAAAAACTCAGGAAGAAAGTCTTACCCATTGTCATGATTGCCCCCGTCCACTAGATAACTGGGTTTTCTTGCCCTATCATTCATATTAATTTTTCTTTGACTAGTCATAAACACAGAAATTCCTTGACTATAGGAAGTGACAACAAATGAGTCATTTTTTGCATGAAAACAGATGTTTATTAAAGAGCTGATTATAACAATGCTAAAAATCCTTGAATTTTTGCCTGTCTTGCATATGTTAAGGTAGTTGGTATAATTCCATAGGGTACTGGGCATTTTAAGGCTAACTCTACTGGATTCCTCAATCACAGGGACACCCTTGGCTTGATACTTCTAGGAAACTTTTACAGAATGTTTTTGCTTTATTCAGGAGCATGGCCTGTTTCGGGCTTGCCGGGTTCAGTTGGCTGCCTGAAGATCATTCTGTGAAGAGATTAAAAGACAACCAGTTATGCATGGGGCTGGGATGTAGCTCAGTGGTAGAACACTTGCCTAGCCTGCAGAGGTCCTGGGTCAGTCCCCAGTACTACAAACAGAACAAGACAGCCAGTTATGCAGAAACTTAGATGCGTAGGCTGACTGCAGGCACAGTCTCAGCTAGCTGGTGTGCTCCTGTCTCTGGCCCAGTGCTTGCTCCAGGAAAGGGGGTGAAACAAGTCTGACCCATGTGAGCCCCAGAAGGTGGAAAAGAAACAGAGGTTGAAGCTCCTGGTAAGTGAGAGCTTCCATGTAGACCCAAAACAGAGCCCATCCGGAAAGAGGGGAGTCAAGAGACTGGTTCCATGTCATTGTTTAGACTCTGAATCAAGCCACTTGTGAAGCTAGCACCCCTGGCTGTTTAAAACCTATAATTTTTTAAATTGTTGCATTTTGGGGCTGGGCTTTCTATCACCTGTAGCTGTGACCCTTGACTTAAGGCTGACTTGAGGAGGTAAGTGGTATTTCCAAGGCTGCTCAGCCATGGAGTGTAAGAGCTGGAGATTGAAAACTAACACCCAGGCAAGTGCTGATTCTACCATACTATACACTCTGAAGTTGATTTGGATACAGATACAGGGAAATTCAAAGTTTAAGTAAAACCAGGAAGGTACAACTTGTCAGATTCGTGCCAAAGTGAAAGATACAGATGTTCTACTGGTCAGATTTCATACTCATTAAGCAGATCTATCAACAATGGAATTTATAGCTGGGTGGGTTGGTGCATGTCTGTAATCCCAGATACTTGGGAGACTGAAGCAGGAGGATTGTCAGTTTGAGGCCAGCCTGAGAAACACAGCAAGATCTCATCTCAAACAAAACAACAAAAACCTTTACCAAGCTGAATTTGTCACCAAAAGGGGAGGAACTTCTAAAGCTGATTTCTTTTTTTTTTTTTTTTTGGTACCAGGGATTGACCAAGTGCTTAACTACTGAATTTATATATTATTTAGAGGTAGGACCTTGCTGAATTGCTTAGGGCCTCGCTAAGTTGCTGAGGCTAATTTTGAACTTGCAGTCCTCCTGCCTCAGCTTCCTGAGTTGCTGGGATTGCAAGGGTGCACCACTGCCCAGCAAGGTTAGGAGATTGTAAACCTCTTAACTCTCATGTACCATCTGCGGTTCCATCTTCAGGGTGTGATCTTTTACTTTGAAAGTATTGAATAAAAATCTCATTCTTTTCAGGAAGAAGATCTCCTTCATTTTTTTTTTTTTTTTCTGAGTTCAGGGTTAGATAGGAAGAAGGGGAATTTGCGTCAGGACGGAGGGGATGACAGGCTCAGCAGGTGATAGGCTGAGTCATACATAGTGGGGACTTTTCCAAAGGAATCATTGTGATCTATTCAGATAAATGTGGGACCCCTTCTGGAACAGTAGAATGGATTATATCATCATTTATGGTTATAGCTTAGGAAGTGTAAGGTGACTGAAAGGACAACAAACAGCATTTCTACCAGGAGGGAGTGGGGACATTGGATGGAACTGATAGGGAAGCCAGGAACAGACTGATGCCAGGTCCCACTGGTTCCCTTTATTCCTGAGAAAACCCCCAGCCCAGAGTGGCCTCTGGTGCAAAAGGGAAGTGTTTGTGGAATGCTCGCCCAGCATGCGGAAGGCCTTGGGTTCGGTCCCCAGCACTGCAAAATGCAAGAAAGGAAAAAATTTGTATTTCTTACCGATTTAATCACGATAACCTTGGCATCAATTAAGGGCTGTGATGTTACTCCTACTGGGACATTCCATTGTTTAGACCATTCTGAAATAAAGAAGCATCATCTTATGAGTTGCAAGAAACAAATATCTGCGTGGCTTTTTTTAGCCCACAGTATGTGGCTCGAGGAGAAATCACTGCCCTGCTAGATAAGCAGAACAACCCTAGTAAAGACCTAGGTCTCTCCCTGTCTGTTCGGTTTGGGATTGAGAGTGGGGTAGCAAGGAAGAGAGACTCCAGAACCACGTAGAGTCCAAATATTGATGCCCAGGGGTACACTGGCATGGCTGACCTCACTGTTAAGACACCATGAGAACTGGCCCATGCAGTTTTGGTGGTAAGTGCACTATTTTGAATTCCTTTAGAATTGACCAAAAATATGTGTAGATGCATGTCGCAGCATCAGTGTTGGTCATAAGGGCTATAATCGCAGCCTCCTGAATGTCTGCATGACCCAGTGACCTAGTCCATGTTTCTACTAAGTAGTAAGAGGGTATTGGTCCCAAGTATACTTTGTGGGCTACATTTCATTAAGTACTGGGGAGAAGGCATTTTGGTTTGGTTTTCATTTTTACTGTATAAAATGCTGTTTCCCCTGTTTTAAAAAAATGTGCTACCAAGGTGGTGATGGAATGGCCTTGTGCTCTGTGGGCACTACCCTGCAGGGGTGACCCACACCCAGGGATCTCTTCTGCAACACTGACTCTTCCAGGTTCCACATACCAATAGCAGCAGACAGGAGCTTCTTCAGAACCCCAGACAGCAGATCTTGCACCTCGTCACTCTGCAAGAGATGGAAAGAGCGTTGTCATCAGTGCCTTCTAGTGGTCCCCCAGTTGGGTGTTGCAGCCAGGGAAAGCAGGCTTACGGCTCTGTGTCTGTTACTGGATAAGGCTGGGTGGGGAGCTGGGTTTCAGTCCATCCCTCAGGCCTCTACATCTCTGAGAGTTTTTGAGGCCCTTTGGTAGGTTCACTGCCCTTGGTGTCTCCTATGTGCCAGACACTGCGGTAGGCACAGCGGTCAGCCCTGTCCCTTCAGGTCAAACACTGAGTTCCGCAGTGGGAGGACCCTATTGACAAGTGCTTGCTCCCTCCTTTGCAAGGAGGTCAGGCCCTCCCGGATTTGGTCCTCCCTTCTGGTGCTCTCCTCCCTCCCCGCCCGCCCCCTGGACCCCCCTGTAGCCCCGAAGTTCAGGCCACTTATATTTTGCACATGTGGTTCCCTCTCCCTGGTCCACCTCTCCCTAGTGTGTGCCACCACGTCCTGCTCCTTTATGACAGAGTTCAGGGACTGCCTGTGTGGTCATCTCATTCTCTGCCTCCCAGTTGAGCCCTGTCCACTCTGTCTTCTTCATGCTCAGTTGACAACTATTTGCATAAATGTCTGTGTTGCCTGCCAGGTGAACAGTCTTTCTGAATTGCTCCCCCTGGACACAGAGCCTGTCATATCCTGTAAATGCCTGGCAAAATTGAGATTAAGGGAACCATAAGCTTGTGATGATTCCAGAGTCGCCACTCTGCTGACCCCCCATTATCTCAGGGCTAACAAGGGGGACCCAGTTCCTCAACCCACAATCGTACTCTTTATCTCTAGTTGACCATTATGGGCCTCCATCTAACATGTGGCTAACTGTGGCCTACTTATTGTGTGCTTGTATGGACTCATTTGGCCTCCACACTGGAATGTCAGTTCCTGAGTTAGTTCTTTGTCATGGCTTCATGCTGTCTTTGGGGCCAAGCAAATAGCAGATGCTCTCTAAGCATTTCTTGAATTGAGAAATAAACATGCTCAGAATAAATGTCTGAAACAGGGGTGGTTGATGAGCCTTTGGTCAGTTCCATCTCTGTTGCCGGAGCCTGGCCCTGGCCCCAGCCCCTGCCTTACTCTGCTCTCCTCTCCTCCCCAGGCTCTTGGTGATCTGTGTGCTTGCCCAGGAACATGCTTACTCCATGGAACATGGGTGGGAGCACAGGGAACCGAGGCCATGGGAAACTGTGCTTATGAGATGCTCTAGTGAGCTGAGTCAGCTTAGCTTCTAGATCATCTTTCCATGCTTCTAGTGGGTCCCAGGCTTGTTGGCACATTGGAACACTCAGGACACTTCAGGAGCACAGACTCCAGGCCCTTCTCGGGTACTGACTGAATGTGGCACGGCACAGTGGGCTTGGGCAGCCATGTTCTAGGAACTCCCCAGAAAGCCCTGATTAGGAGCCTGTGTTCATGACACAATGTATCTGTTATCTAGTGTTCATGACTTCCTCCTTTCCCAGAGTCCCCGTGTCACTCAATGTCTGGAATTAAACTAATTCTCATATACCATAAATAAAAATATTTAAAACCACATCAACTCACAGCCTCAGGGGGGTTCACACTGTGGTCAGATCTGTGAGGAAACAAAATACAGAGAAATTAGGTTCATATAAAAATTACAACTCAGTGGCAGAGCACTTGCCTCACATGCATGAGGCACTGTGTTTAATCCTCAGCACCACATAAAAATAAATAAAGGCATTCTGTCTCTTTACAACTACAAAAAAATTTTTTTAAAAATTACAACTCAATTTCAGAATTTAAATATTGTCTTAGTTGTTTCTTCTTTTTCTTTTTTTCTATACTGGGGATTGAACCCAGGGAGCTCTATTATTGAGATACATCACAAATCTTTCTTATTTTTATTATTTAAAAAAATTTGAAGCCAGGCACAGTGATGCACACCTATAATTCCAACATCTCAGGAGACTGAGGAAGGAGGATTGTGAGTTCAAAGCCAGGCTCAGCAAAAGTGAGGTGCTAAGCAACTCAATGAGACCCTGTCTCTAAATAAAATATGAAATAGGGCTGGGGATATGGCTCAGTGGAGAACACTTGCTAGCATGTGTGAGGCACTGGGTTAGATTCTCAGCACCACATATAAATAAATAAAATGTCTATCAAGAACTAAAATTATATATATAAAATGAATGAAAAATAGGGCTAGGCATGTGGTTCAGTGGTCAAGTGCCCCTCCCAAATTAATGAATGAATAAATAAATAAAACAAAAAGTAAAAATTTTGAGACAGGGTCTTGTTGCTGAGACTGGCCTCAAACTTGTAATCCTCCTGCTTCAGCCTCCTAGGTTGCTGAAATTACAGAGGTGTGCCACCATACCTATCTCTCAGTTGCTTTTTGTTTGCAGTGCTGGGGATGGAACGAACCCTGGGCCTTGTGCGTGCTAGGAAAGTGGTCTACCATGGAGCCACATCCCTAGCCCTCTCAGTTGCTTCTTAATGAAAGTTTTAAATTAGAAACTACTAATTAGAAAGGGACAATTTAAGATGAGTAAGAGCATGAGTTTAAAACTCCATCTGACTTCCTTGCAATTGTCCAAGTATTTCCCAAGAGCCTGTGAATCATACTGGGTTTCATATTTTTTCTTAAATTTGCAGGAGGAGGATGTAGTCATTGGTAGTACCTTACAAGTTTGATGTTGACTGTCATTTTGTCTTTTGAAATCTTGCACTCATGTGAGATGATGAGGGTCTGAAATAACACAAGACGAGTGTCAGAGTAGCACCCTGACCTGGCTACTCAAAAACATGTCACATTATGAGATGACCAGCAGTCCCAGGCCAGATGCAGAGTGGCACCTGCCCAACCTCCTCTCCCCAGGTTAGACTGGTGTCCCTGCTGTCCACTGGAGAGTCTGGCTGTCTGGCTGTCTGTCTCTTCATCCTAGAGTTACCAGGCACTCTGCACCTTGGGCTTAGGTAGCAGCTTAGCCCTGGAACATGACCGCTCCCAGTCCTTCCTCATGACCTGGTTCTGATCCGTTTCTTGGCACTCACCGTTTTCCCAGTGGCATAGCTCTCCTCGTCTTTCCTGATGTCAGTCCAGTAGGAGGCCTGGATGGTGCTGTCTGGCTGGAAGGTGTAGGTGATTTTGGTGATGCTCGCCTCCAGGTTGTCTGCCTGTGGTCAGGAATGCATGGGTTAGTGTGGGGAAGAGGACAGACGGCAGACGCTATCTCATGGCCATGCGTGCAGTGCTCACATCATTCATTCCAGCATTTATCAGTCCTCTAGTGTGTGTCACTGGCCACCTATCTGAGGCTGGAGCAGCTGAAGCAACCATGACTGACAAAGTCCCCTTCTAGATGGTTCCCTGCATCTCATTTGCTTCTTCGGAAGATGAAGGGCATATTACAAACTTTTGCCTTCCTCATTATGCCTTGTCAAACTTGAAGACTGTTTCTCTCTATGCCCTTGTGGCACGACAGTTCTCAGATAATCATTTGGGGACATGTGTATTGCTTCAAATCCAGCCTCGCACATGGAGAACCGTCACTGACTCTTGATGTTGTTGCTTCCTTTTGCCACTTTAAGGGCTAAGAGCAAAGGAATGCCTCATGGGTACATAAACTACCATCGCGCCTTCTGTGGCTTGGTAACGTCATTCTCTCCCTTAGGTCTTGTGAAATGGGAATAAGAATACCTCCACCTGGCTGTGTACCTGGTACACACATGGCACATGGAGATTGATTGTTCTCCTGCTGTCTGCTTTCTATTGATGTAAATAGGGACCTGCTTATTTGATCACTAAGGGACAGTGGAATCCCAGGGCATCAGTTGTGCTTATCCCTGGAGGAATATTCTGAACCCATTTGCATCCCCACCTTCTCACTCTCAGAGTTGACAGACTCCACCGACACACAGAATGGAACTGTGACGGGGGCCATATGTGGATAACGCTTACCTTGACAGAGCTTATCTTGGCTGCGTAAGTAATGATTGTCTTGAGCAACGTGTGAGACAGAGTCATGGAAATGTTGGCATTTTTAGGATCAGGAGGGAGGATACTTCCAGTGACAGGGACTGTATTTTTGCCAAAGATGGCTTCGGCCTAGAGAGAGAAACAGAAAAATATCCATCAGGCAGAGACTGACGCGGATGTTAAGGCCTTTGCAGGCTGGCTGTGAAGTGAAGGAGGAGGTGGCCCGGCCAGTGTTGTGGGAGTGTGGGTTTGTGGTGACTGCAGAGGGGGAGCCCAGGGGAAGGAAGCCCTGAGGCAGTGTGGCCTGGCACAGCCCCATCTCTGATTTTTCCAAGAGAAGCCACAGATCCTTAATTTCCAGGGCCATTCCCCCATTTACACGTGGCGTCCAGTAAGGAGTGTCTGTTCAGTGGTCAACATGTCCTCCCAGCCCAGAAGATCCTGATCTTTCCTGCCTTTCAAAGCCCATCTTGTCAAGAAATTATTTCACGGATGTTCTGGCCTACATGTTAACTAACTCCTTTTTTGATATCCATTTTCCTCTCTGCTTATAAAATGTAAACTCCACATGGCAGGAAAGGTGGAAAACTTAGAGAAGTGGGAAGGAAGATTTCTTCAAATGTCACTGGTATTTCCATGCATACCCCATTGGATTTTTCATATACTTTGAAAAAAATTAATGCGTGTAGCATTTCCGGACACAAACTTTAAATATTTGGATTGCTCTCATCCTTGGCTTAGCTATTTCAGGTTGTTTTTTCTAATCTCATCATGAACATCTTTTTCTCTGTGCTTTGCTATAGCTATACCTGGGTGATGAATTTCTGGAAGAGAAGCTGAGGTACAAATGTTCAGCACATGTCACACCCAGGCTTTGCCCTCCCTGGTGCTGGGAAGAGACAGCACTTTTTGTTTTGTTCAGTGTCTAGATCTGTGCTGAGCAGATCATAAAGGTCAAGGTATGGTTGTCTTTGTTGGAATATCTCTGAGGGCATCGTCCAATGGACTTGAATGGAAGAAAACACAAAGCTGAGCCCCGGGGTGGGTGCCCTGGAGTTGTGGTAGAATTCTAAGACTGAGCCCAGGATAAAGGTGTGAGGATCAGACAAGAGATGACAGTGCCTTTGCCCTGTCCTTCTGATGTGTTTTTTTGGTTGGGGGGTGCTGGGGATTGAACTCAGGGGCACTTGACCACTGAGCCACATCCCCAGTCCTATTTTGTATTTCATTTAGAGACAGGGTCTCACTGAGTTGCTTAGTTCCTCACTATTGCTGAGGCTGGCTTTGAACTCATGATCCTCCTGCTTCAGCCTCCCGAGCCTCTGGGATTACAGGCCTGCACCACTGCCTGGCTGTCCTCCTAGTGTGTTTTTTAGCTCAGCTGCACCTCCAGCCTCCACCCACGGCTTTATAAGCGCATGGAACACTTACGCAGTAGAAGATGGAAAGGCCTTGTGGGGAAATCCTGGAGCTTTTAAGTTGGAACTTGAACAAACCAGTGGCTGCAGGGGAGAGAGGAGACAGCGGTGGAACTACAGCCTTCCCCAGCAGCTGTTGTGCCCTAAGCTCTCTGTTCAGTGCTGTCCTCCCCGTGGGGGACCAGTGTGGACACCTGCTCTCTGGGTCTCAAGCAGGAAGCTGGTACCCTCCACTGGCTTCTCCGCAGGTGTCTGGGATGCCATGGGAGGACGCTTCCCCGAACTCCCCTTCCCTGATGGGCCCAAACCTCCCCGAGAGGAGACACTTCCTGGCCATGAGTTCTGTGTTTTGTCTATTCTGGGACTTAGCAAATGTCACTGATTTCCTACTTCCATTGTCATTTCAGGTGTCCTATGATTCCTTTCTTTCAACATGTGTTGGGGACTTTGGGGATTTTCCTGATTCTCGGCTCCTGGCGTGGGGGCAAGGACCACGCCGTGACCAGATGGTGCATGTGTGGACTTTGTAAACCATCTGGGGCCAGGAGCTTCAGAGAGTCTCTGAGGGGCCCTTTGTCCTATTCCCTTCCTGGGGAATAAGTCTCAGGGGCCTGGAGGAAGGTTAGCTGGGACAGGCCCTCTCCAGGGCCCTGGGGAGAGGAGGAGGGGCGTTGGCAGGTGCTGGCTGTGGTTGCGATTCAGAGCCTCCAGCCCTCTGGTTGGTCACCCCGGGGAATCCCTTAAGAAACCTCGGCCATCTCTCTCCACTGACAGTGGCTTCCCCAAGGAGGTGAGCATTTGTACTCACAGTTCTTGCAGTCGTTGAAATCATTGAGAACAATGTCACAGGAGTCCGTTTCTTGTACCTGTGAAGTCATCCCCAGGACTTTCCCAACCGAGCGCCACCTTAGCCGTCTCCCTCAGCCCACCTCCTTTTCTTCCCTGTCCTCCTTCCCTTTCCCGCTCCTATTTTCTTGGCCTCCTTGGCAGAAGTAATCCCTCCCTCCCTCAGGGGTCATCTTCTTGCTGGTGAGCCATTTTAGCCAGAGGTCCTGCTTGTCCCATAGTGAGGGTCTCTGGAGGGCCTGGGCCTCCTTCCTAAGTCTTTCTCAGCGTCAGGCCCTCTGAGGCAAGGCTTCTCCCCATGTAACCCTAACGGTGCAGGCCTTTGAGGGGGTGCCCCCTCCTCCCCAGCACTTACCTTTTCATTCAGCTCCACTGTCAACAGTTGAAGGATGAGGTCCTCCAAGGGCAAAGGTATAAGGACAGGCACAGGCAGAGTGTCTGTGATCCTGGAAAAGACGTCCATGGAGAACCGAGTGATTCTCGTGTTTCTGGATTTGCACAAACGTTGGACAAGCCCATCCACTGATGAAAGAGCCACAACGATGTCCTGCTGCTTACTCTGCACACCTGAGCCCTTCCCCTTCAAAATGACCCCAGCCCAGGGCACCTGGCCCACCAATCATCGGGAGGAGCTGACTCTGCAGACCCGTGCATGCTGGTGGGCAGCCTCATTTGTGATCTTGTTCATTTGAGTTGGGTGTAAACATTAACAGCTGATAAGGGACTGGTTAAAGAAATCATAGTGCGATGGTACACACTTGTAATCCCAGTAGCTCGGGAGGCTGAGGCAGGAGGATCAGCCTCAACAATGGTGAAGTGCTAATCAACTCACCTGTCTCTGAATAAAATATAAAATAGGGCTGGGGATGGGGCTCAGTGGTCAAGTGCCCCTGAGTTCAATCCCGGCATCCCTCACTACCAAAAAAAAAAAAAAAAAAGAAAAAGAAAAAGAAAAAAGAAATCAGTACGTCTTCCTGAGGTAATTCTAGGGAGTCAAAGAATGAAGAAGCTGGTATTTTTTGTTGTTTTTTGCTGATGAAATACATTCCCAGCTATTTTTAAAAATGTGAATCAAAGTGCAGAAAGGTTTGTAAGATAGCTGCCCTTTTCTTTTCTTTTTTGTTTTTGTGGTACTGGTGCCTGAAGCCAGGGCCTTGTGCATGTTGGGTAAGAGCTCCACCACTGAGCTATGTGCTTAGTCCGGCATCTACTCCTTTCTGCATGTGAACACACAGATGGAAAATTGCATGCATGTTCAAAATGCATCTGTGAAAGCAAACAGAGGAGCCTGGATCCATTGGTTGCTTCCAGGAAGAGGCCTAGCAGGGAGGGAGGCTTCACTCTATGGCCTTTTGTATTTTTTCGATTTTGACTGAGATGAACGTAATGACTATGGAAAAACTAGAATGAATTATGAAAGTAGTTAGCAGCCAGAGTGCAGGGTGGGCGGAGAGACCTCTCTCTGGGCCTTTGTTTACTGATCATTCAGACCATTTATTTGGACCAGCTCATCTCTGGGGGTGGTACCAGTGGGGACATGTTTGGCACATAGGCCTCTCAGAAAATGAGAAAAATTGTCTTACGTACGTCTTTACTATCTGAAGGGTCACTTTGTTGACATTGATTTGTGTTTCCTGGACCTCGAGGTTGACACATTGGGTGTTGTTGGCAGAAATAGCAATTGTCAGAGTCGTTTCCAATTTCACTTGAAATCCCACTAGTTTGATTACAGGTCCACCTATGCTGTGGGGAGCAAGACACAGGGGACTTTGAGCGAGGTTTGAAATTGCTTTTGCCAGTCTGAACTGATTTCTGGTTGGGAGACACAACTGCTTCTCTGGTAAGGTTACAGGGAGGCTGCTGTGAAGTCCTGTAGGTGTTGGGACAGTGAGAGATGCCTAGCTCTATGCCCTAGTCCGTGGTTCATTCTTTCCCCAGTGGGGTTGCCCTGTCCCTGCTGTCTTCTGGGTGCCCAGAGACTACCCTGTAACATGCTCCTCCGTCACATTTGTTGCTCATTGAAGATGGGGACTGTCTTTAGTCCTTTCTTTGTGTCCATTGTGGCATCTTAACTGTGTATCAGGTGGATGAATGAATGAATGCATGCAGGGATGTGAAATCTGTAAGTCATCTCTGTTTCCCCAACTGATTAGAACAGTGTTGGAGCAGAGCGGGCTGATCCTAACGGAGCCTCGAGTATTTGGAAGGTATGTTTCATATGAGACCAATGGAGATGTCACAATGAGGTCTGTTCTCTGTGGCTTCTAGCTTCACTGCCCGGGTATGAACTGGGGCAGATTTCCCATGAATGTCTTTGCTTACACCAGTGAAGGCTGAAACTCCCCGGGGGCCCATCTCCAGCCTCGCGCCTCTGGGCTGGGGGTGAAGGGGAGCTGTATGTGGTGGCCTGCTTGCACCTTCCTCCCCCACTTTGTGGCACTCTGTATCCTCCGAGTCTGGGCTTTGGACCCTGGAACTTAAAGCTCTGGTCTTGAGTGACCCAGTTGGCTTTTGTGAAAACAGTCTCACCCTTTTCCACCTATGGTGGCAGTAATGGCAGCACGGACGTGGATCTCATTGCCTGCCACAGACGACTCCATGCTATCCACAGTCACTTCTTGGACCTCTAATCTGCAAAGTGACAGCATCAAGTATCAGTTCTTCAGGAGAACTACCAACCAGCTCACACCCCACAAGTCACTGTTCCTTCTCTTGGCCCCTCAGCCCCCACACTTGCTCATGTGTTTGAACTCAAGAAATCTGGCCGGTGCAGGGGTGCACACCTGTCATCCCAGCGGCTCAGGAGCCTGAGAAGGAGGATCACAAGTTCAAAGGCAGCCTCAGAACTTAGCGAGGCCCTAAGCAACACAGTGAGACCCTGTCTCTAAATAAAATATAAAAAATGTCTGGGGATGTGGCTCAGTGGTTAGGTGTCCTGGTCCAGTCCCTAGTAACAAGACAAACAAACAACAAACAAACAAAATCAAGAAATCTGTATTACAGTTTCCCCTAGAAGGGCATAATTTCAGCTGGAGCTAGTATAGTGCTTTGTGAAAAGGTAACTGTGGCTTTCATTTGGGATCGTTGGAAGTTGAACTTGAACATCCCAAATAAGCAGCTTTTGAGATGCCAGAAGCCTAGAGGTCAAGGAAGCACTTACCCCAACAAGAGCTCTTCCAGGTTAATGTTTCCCAGCAGGCCTGAGACTGCATCTTTGACGTCTGGCGGCAGGGCACCCTTCACCAAGTCCTGCGTGGATTCCTTGAGGCCATTAGCTTTTTCCATCACGTCGCTCAGGGGGTCCTGGAGGCCAGACACACCAGTGCTGTCGAGGAGTCCTTTTACGGGGTTCTTGTCTGGACCGCCAGGGACTATGCCACCCAGAATATCCTGATTCAGTGGTAGCAGGTTGCTGACGGCACCGGTGGCTTGGGAGAGTGAATCCAGGGGTTTGCCGCTGCCTCCTTTGCCTAGGATCCCTCCAAGGCCACCACCTCCTATATCTAGCACTGAAGTGACATCTAACAGTGAGAGCAGGTTGGAATCGCCCAGCACGGACAGCGCTGACCCGATAATGCCAGCTATGTTCACGTCCTCACACTTCAGCAGCTTCTCGATCTGCGGGGGCAGGGTGGCATTCAAATCTGAAAGACATCAAGAGACACGGTCCTGCTGCGGGTGCCTGATCAGTGCCCTGCTGCCCAGGGCTCAGTGTTGGCTCTGACCCTTACAGGCTGAGTAGCCTGGGGCAGGGTCTTTTCTATTCTGGGTCCGGGTCTCTGCACCTGGCCAGGGACCCATGACAGGAACTGCCACCTGGTGGGGGCAACGGGTGACTGAGGTGATGGTGAAGTGGTTGCGGCTGGGGCGGTGGGCATGGAGTTAGCAGATCTGAGCTCTTCAAGTCCCTCTCCCTTCTCCTTTTCTCCTTGTGGGTCATTGGGAGGTGCTGTCCCCTGGAGGAGGTGCTGTCCCCTGGAAGGACTGCCTCTGGTAGAGAGCCCCCTGTGAGCTGGCCTTGCGACAATGTTTTCTGCATACTGGGGCAGGTGCTAGCCACGGGTTTCCCTCCCTCAGGATTGTCTGGGCAGGGGGAGCTAGAAGCCTGATGCCTATGGGAAGGGACTGAGGCCATCCCTGGGCCTTGGAGAGCTGCTCTGTCACCAGGGTCCTATCCCATTGTGGGGCTCTTGGTGGTCTTAGTAGGAACTGAAGGAAAAAGCTATAAATCTGGATGGCAGTCCCCCCTGCTGGCCTCAGGGCTGAAGTTAATTGGTTAACTTCAAGTGAATGTCCAAGGATGACATTTCTGACCCAGCAGAGCAGCTGTGGGAGGAAGTCCCCTAGGAGCCACCCCCGTGGGACTAGTGGCTGTGACCTCTGGAGCCTTGCTGCTTCCTTTGCCCAGAGCTCTCATTCTGAGATCGTGCCTGTGTGGGGTGACAAGAACACATCTCGACCCCTGACTTATGCCCTAGGGGGTCTCTGGCGCATGCACACCAGGACACCTTCATTAGAATGCATGTTGGGTTTGGAGTCACAGAAAGGTAGGAAAAAACCAAAATAGAATATATGCATAAATTATGGCTGGTTCATCAGTAGGACAGAGCATGAAGACAAGCAGGCGAGACTTTCTCATCGCATACATCACCCCCATATGTGGTCAGGGACACAGCAAGCAGGTTGCCTATTCTGGAAACCATAACACGTAGTGCAAGCTCTTTTGTCGGTAAGGAATATCCACATGTCATAAGATTAAAAAAAAATGCTAGGGAAAAATAATCAGGTTAGAGGCCTTCTCTGGGTCAGGTAGAGGGACAGGGAGGAAGGATGAGGTGGCATGTGCATGGCCGAGGGCCTCCAGTCCCAAGGCTGGCTTTATTCCTTAATCTAGATGGTAGCACATGGATATTTGCCCTATTTATTCTTTTTTTATATTTATTTTTTTAGTTGTAGTTAGATACAATATGTTTATTTTACCTATTGTTATGTGGTGCTGAGGATCGAGCCCAGGGCTTCGCATGTGCTAGGCGAGCGCTCTACCGCTGAGCCACGACCCCTGCCCCCTGCCCTGTTTATTCTTTAGCATTTATTTTTTTAATCTGAAAAGGAAATGGACGACATTACCACCAAATTATTGCTTAAAAGGAACCCATCTGTTTTTCTTACGACTGTCTGACCTTGTCTTACTTTGAAATATTTGTAACAGGGAAGGGTGCCGGGCAGAGGTGAGCACCTCAAGGTTGTTTTGCTCCTCAAGGCAAAGCAGTGGAGCCGTTGGCCTGCCTAGTGTGGCCCCTGGTCAGGTTCTGTGTCCCCTCTGTCACCCTGTCACGCTGTCTTAGAAGGCCATGGCTGCCCTGCTGAGCTATGAGGGGTTTTCTGCCTTGTCTTCACTTGCCAGTGAGTCCTGCCCCCTTACAGCTTCCCACGTGGAAGCCACTTCTTGGTGAAGCCTTAGCTCCGAGTTCCTGTGCTCTCAGCCTGTGTGGGAAGCTGGAGTGGCAGAGGTCCCTACCTCATGGAAGACGTGCTGCCAGACTCAGGGAGGGAGTGAAGTGGGAGTTTGGAGAGGGCAAGTCGGGGCTCAAGGGGTTTGGAGGTGGAACCTGGGTTTCCCATTTTCTAGCTCCTGGTCAAGCAGGCTGAGGGGGTCTGGTGGGCACTGGGGCCAGCAGTGAGATCTGGCCCCGTCTCTAGGCAATGACTCACGTCAAAGGTAACAAGGCAGCATGTGGGACCCAGGATTCCCTTGTCCTGGGCATCCTGGCCCCGTCCACCCCCGTGTGTCCAGTTAGCCTTCTCCTCATCGTGGAGCCCGTTGCATAGCCAGGCTCTGCCTCCGAGTGTCTGGGGGCAGGGCTCGGCCATGCCGGCTCTCTATGAGCTCCTGGGGCCCAGGGCTCCTCGCTTGTTCAGAAGGTGGAACCAGGCCTCCTGGCTTGGAGAGCTATGACTGCCTGTGCCTGGGTGGACAGGACCAGAGGTGCAGGGGGAACAGTTCCTACTCACAGTCATCAAGTTTGCTGCTGGACACGAAGTACTTGACCGCGGATTTGCACTTGCCCTTGGCGTTTCCCACTCGGGACTTTCTGGGAGGAGAGTTCCTCTGGACCCTGGGACTTCTGAAGGCCTGCGGCTGTGACACACTGACAGGGACAGATTTCAAACTGGAAGTGGAGTCTTGTCCCACAGGAAGTCTTTCCAATACTGTGTTTACTTGTGGCACATCAAGGGCTCCTGCTTTGATGGCTAACACGACGGCCAAGGCCCAGAGAGTCCACATTTTGGTGGGTAACACCTGTAAAGGAGGACTTCATCAGACACTACATTCCCAGTGGGCCACAGGCCTGTCACAGATGTTTGTGTAAAATGGCTTTCTGACTCTTAAGAGGTTGTCACTCAAGAGGCAGGTGTTCTGCTGGGCACAGTGGCGCATACCTATAATCCCGGTGGCTTGGGAGGCTGAGGCAGGAGGATCTTGAGTTGAAAGCCAGCCTCAGCATGTGAGGCCCTGTCTCTAAATAAAATACAAAAAAAAAAAAAAAAAATAGGGCTGGGGATGTGGCTCAGTGGTCGAGTGCCCCTGAGTTCAATCCTGGGACCAAAAAAAAAAAAAAAAAGAGGCAGGGCGCACATTCTAGTCTGCACACTGTATTCTTGGGAAAATGTTCCAACACAGTGGGCACTGTCTTGAGGAAGCAGCCCTTTTCTACCTCTAATTGGGCTTTTCATAAATGTTCTCTAAGGACTGGTTGCAGCATTGGAGAAAGTCCACCTCTGCCCAGTCACACATTCTCCTGCCGTCTTCCTCAGTCAAACATCCTTGGCTCTATCTTAATCGGTAACTGGGGAACTGGAGAGTTTTGAATCATGCAGTTACGATCTCAGGCCTACCCCTTTCCACTGGAATGTGTCCATTGATATCTGTTCAGTGAGCCAATGAGCAGATGCTGTCCAGTGTGCTCAGCACCTTCTCCACAGCTATGTCAGTCATTCTATCCGCTCATCCAGGCTGCAGGTCCCCCATGTCTGCCTGAAGATCTTAGTAGGGAAGCGGAGAGCTGGGTGCAGCCCACTAAGACCCTGCTGTTTGGGTCTTAGCTGTTCTGGGTGACTTCTGGGGATCACCTCCCACCCTTCACGCTCAGGTTCCTCTCTCACTTAATTTCCCCAGTGTTTTACCCTCTAATGTTTAGGGTCACGTGGAAGCTTATGTCTCTAACAGCATTTTCCTGAGAACGTAGACTCTGGAGTTCCTATTTGCCTTTCACAGCCCATCAAGTTTTGTAAAATCAGGGTTGTGGGTCTTTGTTCTTGAAATATGAAAGTTGTCAGAATCAACCTGGAGTTGCTTTTGTCAAGCCCTAACCCCCAAGATAAGTAAATGAAGCTGAGGGATTATGAAGGAGGGGATCCCGCGTGTGTGTACCCGATAAAAACCACTATTACCAGAAGACTTGACCAGAACCTTGCACAAAAGTAACTTGCAGGAATATCTGCCCAGCAAATGTCAGTTCAACCTTGGACTGGCATCACCCCTGTTATTAGTCGATTATTATTATTATTATTTTGGTACTGGGGATTGAACTCAGGGGCACTTCACCACTGAGCCACATCCCCAGCCCTATTCTGTATTTTGTTCAGAGACAAGGTCTCACTGAGTTGCTTAGCACCTCACTAAGTTGCTGAGGCAGGTTTTGAACTTTGCAATTCTCCTGCCTCAGCCTCCTGAGCTGCTGGGATGACAGGCGTGTGCTACCACCCCTGGATAATCCATTATTTTTTTTCAAAATATTTCATGTAATCCTCATCTTACCTTAAAAAACTTCCCCTTGCCCCAGCCTGCTTGAATACACTCCCAGTTCACTGTGGTGTAGTTATTTCCATTGTTGTTATTCTATTCCCCGCCCTCCCCAAAATTAATTCATCTATAGAGACTTATGATTTTTATTAGGTTGAGCTTGCAACCAAGAGGCTGAGCCTCCTTGAAGACAGGGGGCCCAGCCCCAGGGAGATGAAGCAGGTAGTCAAAATCAATCTCTCGTTCAGACTCTTGCTTTGACAGCTGAGATTGCCCCAAACAGCACGACAGCATGTTACAGGAGAAAATTACAGATCTTCAAGTGGAAGGAGTCTAGTAGTTGACGAGCAAAAAAAGCAAGCCTTCTGCCATTTGCCAACATGGTGAAAAGAGCGGTTATGGCATAATCTGAAACCAGCTACAATTCTTCATCTTGAATCAATGAACTTTTCGAAAACAAAACCAATCACAAAACTTGGTATATTTTCCCAGCTTTCTCACTTGACTCATCTGGGAGACTGGAATGAATCTCACACAACAGCTAAGCATTCTTTAAGGGGAAAAAAAATCCTGTGCCAGAGTCACTGTGTTCACAGCAATGTTATTAGACTGTGACCCAGTGGAATACTTCAAGAATCCCAGGAATAGCTGGGTGCCGTGGCACACACCTGTAATTCCAGCGACTTGGGAGGCTGGGGCAGGAGGATCACGAGTTCAAAGCCAGCCTCAGCAAAAGCAAGACCCTAAGCAACTCAGTGAGACTCTGTCTCTAAATAAAATACAGAATAGGGCTGGGGATGTGGCTCAGTGGTCAAGTGCCCCTGAGTTCAATCCTTGGTACCAAAAAAAAAAAATCGCAGGAATACCCGCCCCCCATTCTCTTAAAAGCACCTCCATAGCAGGTGCTCAGTCCCCTCCCCTTGCTGGGTGGACTGCGCTTCATTTCAGCGTGGAGGCCGCTGCTAGATCTGAACCTTAAACCCTAGATACGGGTCCTTAGATAGCTGCCCTCTGCTTGCTGCTGTTGCAGAGTTGCGACCTTCTCCTCTCTGCGTTTGATGCGCAAGTCCTTACCTGGCCCGGTGTTGGTGGGTCTCAGTTTTCAGCAGCTGCCTCTCCTGCTCTTGCCCCTGAACTATCGATAGCGAAGCTGCATCCTATTTTTATAGACTGGTGTCTCTTGAAAAAGTCATCAGAGAAGATGGGACATGATTCAAGCGTGCTGATAAGGGTGGCGTGACCCCGGCTGTCTTCCAAGATCAGCACCTGCTCATTGCTAGGCCATTGTTCTGAGACTTCCTGGAAGGTGTTTGGAGTGGCTGGAGCTTCTCGGGAAGGGGCAGTCAGCCATGGGTCTGTCCCCTTCTTATTTACACCTTCCTAGGTCTGCTTGGAGCTGTGAGGACATTGGGCGAGGCAGAGCAGAAGGGCCTGCAGAGGGGGCAGGTACCCGTCCTGTGGGGCCCATTATGGTGCCCTCGCGGTGCCCTGGGCGGAGGCAGCCCTCAGCACTGAGTGAACAAGCCCAGGGCAGGAATCTGTGATGGAGGTCTGAGGTCCTTTGCACAGGGTGCCCAGGGACGGTCTCCTGTCAAGGACAGTGACCTCAGGCTTGAGTGAGTGAACGACCTAGCTAAGGACAAGCAGCAGGTGCAAGGGGACCAGAAGGTACACACAGCCTGAAATGGCAGGGCAAGAACGAGGCCTAGAGGGCGTTCAGCAGGGCAGCGAGGGGACAGTAGCCTGCTGTGGTCTCATTTATATTCAAGAAATTCTGGTCTCTAGGCCAGACTGTCTCTCACTGTGATTTAATTCCTGGAGCCTATTTTCTGGGCCTCGGGCTTTCCCTTCATCCCCAGAGAAAGGCCACGAGGCTCCCACCGTTCGAAGTTTTGTGGTTTTTTCCTGAACCCACTGTCGTGCTCTGTAGGACAATCAGAGTTTCCAAAACAGGACTCTGGGCAAGGGGCTCATTTTCACTAAGGAGGGTCAGTGCCTGCTCCCTCTCGATGCACGCTGGGCATGGACTGGGTCGTGGCCTTCAAGAGGCTCGGCATGTCGGTCGCAGGGCCCTCTCCTGTCCTCTCCAGTTCTCATAGCACAAACCTCCACTACAGTCGCATTTGCCAAAGGTCCCATTTGGGCCATTGCTGAAATGTCAGATGCAAAGAACAAATAACAGTTGACCTTTTCTCACAGGGTAGAACTGAGAGTTTTGCACATGATGATAAGTAGAAGACAAAATCCGACTGTCCTGTGTCTTATTTTTCTTGGACATTTGAGGGAAATTGAGTCATCTTTGAGGTGAAGTTTGTGCCACCCATTGGTGGGTGTGCCCTTGATTTTGGTACCTATAATGGTTCTCTGGAGCCAAAGAATAACCCCAACTCCAGCAGTGGGGAGGGGCACATCCGGGAGGCGGCTTTGATGGCTCCTGGGGCCTCTTGGTTCTTTGTGTTTCTCCCCTTCTTTGAACTCAGGGCAGCCAGTGAATCTGCTAATCCAGGCTCTGCAAAGAGAGGGAGAACATTTCTTATCAGATGGGAGGAGGCTGACTTGTTCCAGGCACTAAGTGATTTAACCTGCTGACCTTTGAAGGGAGGGCTCCTTTCAAGACAGGCCAAGGCCTGGCTGGAATCACAATTGCCAGTGATAAGGCAGGTCCCAATTCTTAATGGCTTCTGTGTGAAGAGATCACAAAGACTAGGCTGTGTGAGGGTGTCCCTTGATAGAGGATTTTGACCTTTCTTAGGTGTTATCTTTAGACACACACAATACCCATACCTTTGGACACAGTTATCCCTTTATCCTTTTAAATCCTTGTCTCCAGCCCCCTGGAACTCCGAGTCTTGTCAGCATCCCTGTCTCAGTCCTGGGGTCTACTTCATCTTGGATCACGGGCAGTCACGACTCACAGGGGCCTCTCAAAGGAACTTTGTGTCCCTGAATCCTTTGACATTGCATGTAAAATTTAGCGCTAACATTCACTTCTAGAGACGTACCTTTAACGCAATTCTTGATGGATCTTATGATTTTTAAAAGGTTAAGAGCCAGTGGTTTAGAAATAGGCAGTTTATGTTCACAGCCTTTGGTGCCAGACAGAGCTGGGTGTAAATTTTCTTTTTTTCCTTGTACTGGGGATTGAACTCAAGGGGAGCTTTACCACTGAGTTATATCCTCAGCCCTTTTTATTTTATTTTTTAATTTTGAGACAGGGTTTCTCTAAGATAATAAGAGTGGCCTTGAACTTGTGATCCTCCTGCCTCAGCCTTCTGAGTTGCTGGGATTAGGCTTTTTCTCAGATTTTATACCATTAGGCAAGTATGGTGGCTTATGCCTGTAATCCCAGTGGCTTGGAGGCTGAGGCAGGAGAATTGTACGTTCAAAGCCAGCCTCAACAACTTAGTGAGGCCCTAAGCAACTTAATGAAACCCTGACTCAAAAAAAAAAAAAAAAAAAAATGGGCTGGGGATGTGACTCAT